CTAATATACATTTATCCATCTGACATTACCACACACACACACACAGGCCGTGATCAGATTTTTGACTCAGAAACTAGTGATGAGGAGGAAATTCAGGATGCATCTTGCAGTGAAGATGTTTCTGAAGAGGAAGGCACCACTGAATCGGCTACGGAGCTTGAAACAACTGATGAGGAGCAGTCTTCCAGTGATGAGGGCCCAGCTGAGGTTACCGTTTCATTCTGGTCAAAAGATGGAACTTTGTCCTGGCCTTCATCCCCACCTATGAGGCAAGGCAGGTTTTCTTCTGAAGGCCTTCCTCTTCAGAAACATCTTCACTGCAAGATGCATCCTGCATTTCCTCCTCCTCACTAGTTTCTGAGTAAAAAATCTGATGAATAACATCATGTGCAGAGCTGTTTTGCCATTGTGCTGCCACAAATGAATGACAAGCAAGGTGCTGTGAGGCATTTTATATATGCCTGTGCTATCACATGATGTATATTTGTAAATATTGTCTAGTTCTGTGTGAGAACCTCACAGTTCCAAAACAAAATGTCATAATATTTTGTCTGGAAGCTGTGATGAAACAAGACCATGAAAGAAAGATTCTTTTGAAGCCAGGTCACTGCAGTCACGGCCAGTTTGTGTGTGTGTGTGTGTGTGTGTGCGTGTGTGTGCGTGTGTGTGTGTGTGTGTGTGTGTGTGTGTGTGGTAATGTCAGATGGATAAATGTATATTAGATGCAGGTTAGGGTAGAATCAAATTTCTCTCTGTGGAAAAGAATGTGTGTAATACTCAAAACAGTTTGTGTGTTTTAACGTGTGTGTCTGGGTAGCGTGTGTATAAATGTATCGATACATGCACAGGTCCAAAGGCTCGATGTTTGCAAGCACACATGCTCATATGTGTACATGAAAATAATGAACATGCTCCTGAAAACTAAATTGTTCTGTTATTTTCAGTCTCTCCCATTCACTTTCAATGGTCGGCCATTGTGACCATTTTTGACCATGCCTACTCTCAGATAAATGAGGCCCACGATTAATCAGATGCAAACAGAAATATAAAACCAGTCCTAATTGAAAGAGAACAAGTTGACAAAAAGATTGAATCCAAGATTGGGTGAAAATATGGTATTATAAGTGATTTATAAGCTATTTTTTATAGGCCGGTCATTTTTGACCGGGAACATCTCAAGTGTGACTATGTGCCATATTTTTTACAAAACAAAAGTTTCAAAACAAAATTCCCGGTGAAACATTAGAGTAGACTAGTGTGATTAACAGTAGCCATTTTTTTCATATTTTTTTTCATATTTCCAAATTTACTCATAAATTATTTGTTTTTTACTAAAAAAATTAGATGCTCACTCTCAGATAAATGAGGCCCACGATTAATCAGATGCAAACAGAAATATAAAACCAGTCCTAATTGAAAGAGAACAAGTTGACAAAAAGATTGAATCCAAGATTGGGTGAAAATATGGTATAATGAGTGATTTATAAGCTATTTTTTATAGGCCGGTCATTTTTGACCGGGAACACCACAAGTGTGACTATGTGCCATATTTTTTACAAAACAAAAGTTTCAAAACAAAATTCCTGGTGAAACATTAGAGTAGACTAGTGTGATCAACAGTAGCCATTTTTTTCATTTTTTTTTTTCATATTTCCAAATTTACTCATAAATTATTTGTTGTTTACTCAAAAAATGAGATGCCTACTTTCAGATAAATGAGGCCCCCGATTAATCAGATGCAAACAGAAATATAAAACCAGTCCTAATTGAAAGAGAACAAGTTGACAAAAAGATTGAATCCAAGATTGGGTGAAAATATGGTATAATGAGTGACTTATAAGCTATTTTCTATAGGCCGGTCATTTTTGACCGGGAACACCACAAGTGTAACAATGTAACAAAACTCCCACAAAAAAATAAGAAAATTTTCAAAAAAAACCTGAGATTTAGTTAAACCGTTTGGGAACAAAGTCACTAAGTTTCAGTCCAAAGCGATAACATTAACTAGTATTTTCGGGAAAAAGAAAATCTTCTCCGGGTCAAATTGACCCGAACACCACATGAGGGTTAATGAGGCAATTAACAATAATAGACTTGTTTTAAAAATTGGCATTTATGTATTTAATACTGTTTTGATAGTCTGTAGTCCTATTCAGGCTGTATATATTCCATTAGTATATATTCCTGTATATATTCCATTATTATATAATTTTAACATTTACCGTTGGTAGACAGTAATTTAACTGCTCTCCGAATCAAAAATGTTGGTGTACTGGGCTGAATTTCCTGCTGTTTGCAGACACGCTTCAATTTTGAACTGACGAGTTTACAAGAATGAATCGATAGAAAAAAATTTGTTTCACAGCCATACTATTTGACACTATGTGATATGGAAAGCAAAAAAAAGGCTATTTTGAAAAATGGGGACTTGTATTAGAGAAAATCATGTTAGAGCCACTTATGGGCCACTTATATAAATAAAGTTTGATTTATAAACCTGTAGTATATACCAAGACAGACCACATCAAATAAACATCCAGGCTGTCAGATGACAGAACTCCTTCGTCCTCTGTGAATTAATTTGCATCCAAATTCATGACACACAGATTTTGTTTTACAGACATCCTGCTGAGAAATAATTACCATCCAAATACAGCTTATGCCATCTATTGATCTGGAGATCAGATCTGTGGCAGAGTATTTGCTCATTTCCAAGTCAAAACTTAAACGTAAACAGTAGCATCACAGTTAGAAATCTTCTAAATTCATTTAAACAATTTCAGTTGCACATTTAGTTGCTATTTTTCATTAAACTCATTACACAGTGATATGATGGAACAAACCACCACTTTGTATGTTGCAGGGGGACGTAACTCTTCAGCTATGTTCTGAACTATATTTTCGTTCATGAAATAGAGTAAGAAACAGTCAAAATGGACAATACTGTGTTTTAAAATTATTTAAAAAAGAATATCAACTTATTGTTTATTAAACTATTGTATTAAGTGGAATCTTACATTTGCAATCGTGCTGATATTCGGGGAAAACATGCAGCACTTTTGTTCGGGTGATATTGCTTAAATATATCATAATATAAAAACATAAAAGATCAAATCTCATATGGGGAAAATTCATGTCTTGAATTTTGCTGGCAATTTAATTAATTTTGGAGGCATTTTTGACCCGGCACAACGGATTTTTTACACCAGCGCCAGACTTGCTTGTTGTTAAGCTTAATGTAGGGCTATTGCCTAGTTATGCTGTCTCTATGTAGATATTTTAATAGTAGTCTAATTTGACAGCAGTGAGAAACAATACCGAAGCAGAGGGTAAAAACTACCTGCTCCGCTCGCAGAACTACAAACCACGCCCCCTACCTCAAGTTAATAAATAAATATTTTATTCTTAACAAGACCAAAGAAGTTCACTTTAAAATATTGCATAAGATATACCCTGTTAATTCAACGGTGTCCAAATATCTTGATATTCCTAGTACTTGTACGTTTTGTGGTCACGAAGATGAATTTATTATTTTTTTTGTTATTTATGAATTTAGCATATATTTATGATAATGACATTTATTCAATTCTTGTAAATTGGTTCAGAAGTTTTGGTCTAACATATATTTTATTTAAATAAAACCCCCATCTATGCACAATCTTTTAATTTGAAAGATTGTTTGATATTACACTGACTCCAACAAACCTAAAGAATATATTTTCAACTTTTTTTTTTCTTTTTTTTGACAATTTTTTCATCCATAAACAGAAATTGATTGGCTCGCTTCCTACTCTCTCACATTTTTTTGATAGACTCACAGCTTAATTTTTAAAAAAATAATTTCTACCAATAAAAAAATGTGATAGATTCCCGAAACAATATGAACTATTCCTTTGTAATGGCACCAGGTCAGATTTAACCAGCTTTCTCTCATAAATTGATTGTTTTTGTCCTCCCTCTTCTTCTTCTGATTATCTATCTCTTGTTAGTATTGTTTCCCTATAAAAAATGTATGGTACTTAAAAAAATGTCTCTTTATCCCTTGTCTTTTATTTGTCCTCTTCATATGTATGTTAACATTTATTAATACGTCCTTTAGATATCTGACTTTATATAAATCTTTTTGAACTGTTATAACTGTATATACGTATTTGCATAATGTTTCTTGAATAAAAAAAAAACTTCACTTTCCTCGCTTTTTAAGAATCACTATCACTGGTGATAAGGCAGTGATAGACAAATCGTATAACATAGATCACCAGACGGCGTAGTCATCATGTTTGTTTTTAAAGTATTTTAATTATGAAATTATGGTTTAGGTGTGGGGGGTAGGTTTTTAACTCTAATTACCTGTTATAATTTGATAGTATAATTTATTTTATGTTTTACTACCAGTTGTTATTTCATACTTAATAAGATTTGAAAGCATTATAAGCTCCTCTTACAAACCTTTCAAACATAAAATATAAAAATAATTTACTTCAAAAGATTGTTTTAGTCAGTGACACCCACGCTTGTTTCTTTGCGGGAGACGTAACTTGTAGTAGGTGTAATTTGCAGGGGCGTGTAGTATTGTGGGATGCAGACAGAGCCTTCTCGATTTGTGTGCTGGCGGTGAAAAGGGATGTAAAAGAAGAGAATGGGCAGGGGCTTGTGCGGTCTCGCATGATGCCATTGGCCAAATTTAAATAAAAAAATATAAAAACGTCTTGCAAAAAAGGCACTTATCTAGTCAGAGACCAAAAGGGCTGGTGCTTGAGCACCACTTGGTGTCTATCTGTGCATTTGCCTGATTGTTAGTGCTGTCATGTCAGTGTTGTTAACTTTTTAACTCAACAATATTATAATTTTGTCTTTTTTTATATCATTATTTACCATGTTTAAAGATATAGGAGCCAATGTGCTTCACCAGAGACAGAAGAGGAGAACTCTGACTGCTTTAAACCACTAGCTTATGATTCTCTTTTTAAGCTGATGTTATTTTTGTTTCTCTCTCTCAGATACGATGGACCAAGACAGCAGGCAGTGCAACTGACCGCTTCCAGGACTCCAGCGTATTCAACGAGACACTGCGCATAACCCGCATCCAGAGGCACCAGGGCGGTCGTTATTACTGTAAGGCTGAGAACGGACTCGGCACTCCCGCCATCAAATCCATCCGAGTGGATGTCTACTGTGAGTTAACAAGCTCATCCGCCCGTCGGCAGAAAACCACACACTCTTGCAAGTCATAGCTTGGTATTAGCCTTTGCTGACTGTGTCTGCGTCTGTCTCTTAGATTTTCAGATGCATACCTTGATTCAGCTCTTCACTTAAATCCTTAAGTTACAAATCACATAAGCAGTTGGAAAGACACTTATAAGCAAAAGTGTTTGCTGTACCTCTGGGTTCACTGTTGATTGTATATTGTCACCTCAAATTTTATAAACTAATAAAGAAAAGGAAAAAGTCCTGTCCTTCTGATTGTAGCATTCAAACATATGGTATATCAAATCATATATTTATTTATATTTCAATTAAGGATTTTTAATTGAGCATTTTTGTTCCGAAGATGAATGAAAGTCTTACGGGGTTGGAACAACATGAGGGTGAGTAATTGCTTACAGAATTTTCATTTTTGGGTGAACTAACCCTTTAAGCTTGTTAATAGAACACTTGTTTTCAAATTCGTACTCCTCTTTCCTTTATTCATGATTATGAAAAGAAAAAAAAGTCCAGGGGAAAAAAAGTTTTTTTAATTTTTTTTATCCCTTGCTTGTTTAGCTACTATGAGTGCCCATTATTCAAAACCATTTCTCTGAAAAAAAATTAAAATGTTAGGCACAGTAATCTAAATAATTTATCATGGCCGAATGACCTTCCAGAATTGTTTATAATGGACCAGAACGTTTTCTAAGCGTTAATGTGTCTCTCACTAGCTGCTTTATGCAGCTCGAAATGAGACAGTTGTACAAATTCCAAGCATATTTTACATGCTTTCTTTGGTACAATATTCACTAACAAAACAGGGTGTTATAGTGACTAAATCTCAGCCTCTTATGGAGCTAGCCATTAGCCACAACCTTTGTGCCCTTGAGCAATGAAATGTTCCTAAAATAAGTTTACAGTTGGTCACTTTGAATAAAAGTAAATGCTAAATACAGTAGCTGATTAGAAAATGTTCTATCCACTTATGGTGTCATTTAATGATACAGACACAATAACAAAATATGTTAATGACTGTACAGTGACACAAGGAAGTGCTTAAGGAAACAATACAGTACTACTAATAAATACATGTTACTTTATAGCTATAATCTAAGTTTATTTCCATCACTATCTGTAGTTAGTTATGCTAGTCATCTACTATAGCTTTGCTTTATATGTGAAATTTAACCAGATTTTTTACATTTTATTTGTAATATTTTGACTTTTGGTGCTGTCACTTTTTATCCTCCACTGTATGATGATATATGATATATTTATATTTTATATTTTTTAAATATTATAATAATTAGTATACTATTATATTTATAATACATATATTATAGTATGTAAAGTAATATATAATATAATATTTACATGATATATTTATATAAAGATACACTACTGTTCCAAAGTTAATAAATATACACTACTGTTCAGTCATTTTAAAATGTAAATTGTAATAATATTACACAAAATTACTGTGTAACTGTATTTCTAAACAAATAAATGTGTCCTTTGTTGCATAAGAGCCTTTATTCAAAAACATTTAAAAAATCTTACTGACCACAAACTTTTAAGCGATAGTATACAATTTATATACTGTTAATAATATATTGTGGTAAGTTACAGTATAAGGAACTATTTTAAGTCTAGCTACACGATTTTATATTTTATATTAACAACTGAAGAAAAACATGCATGCAAAACTACTGAGAAAACAGCAAAAAATATGTTCAGGTGCCAATATTAATGTGTATCCTATGATATGGCAACCTTTACCTCTTCATATGTTTCATTACGGCTTTATGTTTGAAATGAATTTCAGTACTTCTGATATGGTCGAACTTACATTATCAGGCTCTAATGGAGCATGTCTTATTTCTTGTATTTCTTGTCTAGCACATTTCTTAGGCATCAAAAGCCAGACAGTGAGTTTTTTTTTTATGTGACTCATCATAAGAGCATATCTCATATGTCTCTTTCAAAGAGTTTTGCACTCATACACGTCATCATTCTGAATCTGTGAACACTTTTATTTTCTTAGAGATGCAACATGGCCTCATTATCGACTTAAAGACACTTCTCATTGAAGTTTTGGCAACCGTAGACTTTGCTGATATCAAATGCATGGCTTTGAATATATGACGAAATGCATAAAATAAGAGGTTTAATGAATGAGTGAAATGAAAATGAGGATTATTCTTCAAAGAGACATCGTTGTCAGTAAGCTAGCTCCTGAATTTTTCCAAGTTTCAAAGGTTTACTCCTCTGCTATCGGAACCATCAAAAGCTATCACAACCTGTCAAAAAAGGAGTTGTGTGTTGCCTCTGTTCCCTACAGACACGGAGGAGCCATAGATGTTGTAAAGTGATTTACGGTAGCACAGAGAGATGAATAGAAGGAGCGATGGACGATGGCAGGCAGCATTGCCGTGGGGAGACAATGAGGAGCAAGTCATTACCCTTGAATTAGAGAACAGGCCTCAGCTTGTCATTTTTATTCCAGCTTCACGGTGGACTATTCGCTGGTGGGCACTCGCTTTTATCGATCAGAGACATGCTACTCCTGATGCAGTGATCAAAGCCTAGACACATGTCATTGATAAAGAACAGCCAACACACTGCCGATAAACAACTGAGTACTTCGATTTGGAGTGCCCGTGTTGTCTCTAAGCGTGGCAGCACTCACTAGTCATTAGTTTAAAGCGGTCAAGATAGGCAATAGCGATATTGATTATTCAGGTTTATATTTGTTCCGAAGTGGTCTACTGAAACCTTGAATCCAGTGATCCAGTTTTTTTTCTTCTTCAATTGACACAGATAGTTCACCTACAAATGACAATTCTGTGAACATTTACTCACCTTCATTTTATTCCAAACCTGTATGTCATTTTTTGTTTTGTGAAACATAAAATGTGTTTTTTTTCCTGGACCCGCATTGACGTTCACTGAATGAATTTGTGGTTCAGTATTAAAAATATAACCTGACAAGCAGGAAATGAGTCGTGCCAATGCTGTCTGTCAAATTGTTATCGGACAGGTTGATTAATGTTTTAAAGCAGGAGAAAGAAAGATGTTGAAAGGCACGGCTTACTGGTAGCTGAGAGTTCTCTAAAATTGCATTGCTTTGAGGGCGGTCTAAAAGCACATGGCTCCTCACTCAAGCACTGTAATTATTGTGGCTCTTGAAAAAAATTACTGTTGTAAAAATACTCACAATTCAGATGCCAAAATAAAGGCCCCCGACGTGGTCCATCATTTGAGACATTATGTTTGCTGTTAATGCTTGTGTGGTTTGTGGAGAGGTGAATAGTGTTTGGTATTGTTAATTTATATAACTTGAAATGTTAATGTATTATTATATGTAGAATTTAACACACATTATTAATGTTGGTTGATAATGTACTGATCATTGTTATTAGCCTGGGAAAACCCAGACAACTTCCGGCAAATTTAGATTTGCTCTGAAAGTTAGTCCGGTAAAGAGCTCATTCAAACCCATTTCCAATCCGTCGAAATCGAGGCACCAATCAGAAACGTTGGGGCGGGCTTTACACGATGACGACAGCGCTGGGATTTTGAAGCAGATTTTGTAGCCTACATTACAAAGATGGATGCCGCCGTCGAACATCACTCGTTCGAATCAGCTATCGCGTCTGTTTTAAGCGATTTGAACGTTTCCTTTTTGTTAAAAACCTAGCAAAGAACAACACTCGGAGATGTTTCTCGTCATCGTCATCATATACGTCATCTCCTTCATCGCTCTGATTGGTTTTAGGTCTATCCGAGACGTCCGTTGGTGACGCCCCTCTGGAAATGATTTGTCTATGACGCTTTGCCAGACCATAACTCAGTTACAACTGAGAATGGTCTGGTTTTAACCAGGCTACATTGTTATTTGTTATATGTTAGATATTGCATTAACTAATGTTAACATATATACCTTGACCTTTATTGTAAAGTGTTTCCAGACTGCATTGGATCTCAATAACATACACTCATTTTAACTGGTGTTTAATGAGTTAAGTATTAAAAATGTGCAAAGCAATTTATGTCTATATTGGACCATAATAGGCTACTGTATGATTTGCGCTCCAGTAAATTTCAATTCTTTTATGGGCTTCTTTCTTAATTTAGGTCGTTTTTGGCTCATTAAGCAATTCAACAAATTGTGCCTTCAATCTCGAAGCAGCTTGGAAAGAAACAGGGAAAAATCAGATATATCAGAGTGTAATGTTTGAATTATTCCACATTATTGAGGTATATTTAGCAACAACTTAATGCTAGTAGTGGCACACAACTGTTTCTGGTATCTGTAACACTGTGACATATGCATTTGAATTGAGCTTACTTTTAAGAATTGGGACATGAATATTAATGTATAAAGTAGGGTATAAATAAAGCTAAATATGGATGTTTTTGTTTACCTGTAACCTAGTTTTCTGTTTATTTACATTCTGTCATTTCCATACTTCTGTCCTACATGTCTGCATACTGAAGCCTTTTTCAGAAATATACCTAGCTAGAGTTCTAGATGGCTATTCCTGTATACCACGCTACAGAAGTCTCCTGGCGGTTTTTCAGGGTGATTTGAGCAATCCTAGATCAGCGTGAGCGTGACCAATCCATCTGTTTACATTTCAGATTTAGATAACCCCATCGTGACAGTCCATCAGAGTATAGGAGAGGCAAAGGAGCAGTTCTACTATGAGAGGACAGTGTTCCTCCGGTGTGCTGCCAATTCAAACCCTCCGGTGCGGTACAGCTGGAGACGAGGGAGGGAGTTCTTGTCCCAAGGTTCGGACAAGGGTGTGGAGATCTATGAGCCTTTCTTCACACAGGTAAGGCATTGGGATACATTGATGGAAATAAATGTTGTGCTGTTATTTCCATCAAGAGGTGCACCCATTTTTGTTCAAAATCTTGTATCGTCAATGCAAGAGTCAAGCTTTCTGTAAAGTCTACTCCAGCACATCCCAACGACTTTAATAATGAGTTTAAGGGCTGGACTCAGAGGTGCCAATTCATGTGTGAAAATAATTCTTCATGCTCCCTCTCAACCACTTGGTCGAAGCGAAATATATGATATTCGCACTGCACTTCAGTTAAAGGGACTCATATTTATTTGTTTGGAATATAAAAATTAGATTATATAGTGTGCATCAATGGTGACATTTAATACTAGATAACTTTAATATAAGATAACTTTATGTAAGGCTGGCTTGCTTGAAAACATTTGATGAATTTCATTGCTCTTGCATCAAAGTTGTCACAGCAATCAAGAGAGACAAAGAGGGAGCATCAGTTTGACATCGTGAGTGTTATCTGGTCCAGAAGGATGCACATCAGATATGACAGTTAAAAAAAATGCTTTCAAAACACAGCTTTGCCATATCCGATATGGCACAGTGATTGGCCCAGAGTGGATCTGACTTGGTAATTAGTCATAAGATGCAGGGTATTTCTGGACCTGTTTCGCTCTTCTTATTCCCCACAGAGAATCATTCATGCAACATTAGTCTGTGCACTTAAAGGAGATACTGCATGTTATTTTCAATAGAGCCTTCTTTATCTTTCAACCCCTTCAGAACTATGAATATGAAGCTGCAGTTTTCTGTCAATATCTCAGGTTAGAAAGCAGATCAAAAGCCAAGAATCTTCAGAAGGTTTTGGTATCAAAAGGTGCCACTATTTATAACCGATCAACTTAAATTTCTTTGTACAAATTGACCTCATCTAAAGATGACAAAAAATAAGTTACTCATTTGATTGAGGTGGAGCGTTTGCTGTAAGTGCACAGTTGGGAAGCACCTTCACTGAAATGGAAGCACCTTCACCAAAGAGAGCACCATTCACTCTAATGCTGACTTGAACATAACAAAATATAATCAAAAAAACTCCATAGAGCTAAAATATATATAAATCCTGAATAAAAAATATTAACTATCAAAATAAAAATAACACAAATTATTCATATTAGTATAATATTTAAATATTAAACTTTTTGATACTTTGTTGGATCACCTCTTGATGTCTAATGTAAAATCTGTGTCCTGAAGCAAAACCCGTTGAGATCCTGATTTATACGATATCATCTTCTTGGCTTGCAGGGTGAGACCAAGATCCTGAAGTTAAAGAACCTGCGTCCTCAGGACTACGCAAACTACACATGCACTGCCTCTGTCCGCAATGTTTGCGGCATCCCCGACAAGAGTGTGCTATTCCGGCTCACCAACAAAACCGGTGAGAGATGCCAAAGATACCTCCTCCTTGTGCACAGCATTGTCTGTTATTTTAGTCTCCTTCTGCTATATTTGAGCCGTCCAACGAGTAAGAAAGTACATGCATGCAGCACCACAGAAGCAACTCTCCAAAGGAAGTGCCCTAAGGCTCTTGTCACCACAAGTGCTGTGTGGTCTGATAATCAGCGAGCTGTGAGTGCTGCATGTGTTATTGAGTATGTTACGCCTGTTACATTTAGAGGCCTGCTGCTACTTTTCTCCTCCTTTGTCGGTTGATGGCTGAAGAAACCACCCCGGGCTGATGTTTTCACCACTGGCCTTGCAGTTAATTCAGTCTATGGCAAAACCACGTTCTTAAGGAAATGGCCCTGCGGGTTCCTGTGCTCCTTATCTGTCTCGGCGGGCTTCACACGCTACTGTGGCGAAGACCTAACCTTTACGGAATCCATTAAAGAATGAACAGAGTCGGCAGACCTTTTCCTCCGGCCATCTCTGTTTCTCTATCTTCCTCTCCCACTCCACCACCCTGCTCATTTTCTTGCAGTATCCTTCTTTCTCACTTATTTTCCGTCTCTCAGCGCATTTCTGGCAGCACATTGGCTGATGATGATGATCATGGCACAATCCCAGGGATTGACTGATAGCTTTGCCAACTTGAAAGCCCTTACATCACAGCTTGCCAGTGTGCTTTTGGGACAAGGCCTTGATTATATAGATTGGGCCCAAGTAAACCAATCTCTTTGGGTGATAATTGTAAATACCACTTTTTTAAGTGTAAGTTTTTTAATAAACACATTAGCGTAATTAGGTAAACCACCATAATTGTCATCAAGAGGTGACAGTACGTGAACTTTGTGTATTTGCTGTAATTACTCACTTGAAGTTGGCTGTGCACCTGGTGTTGCTTCTAAACAAGCATATAAACTGTTTTTGATCCCTTTAAAATCTTCACTTAATTAATATTCATGAGTCAAGCTAGTAAGTTTTATAATGTGTCTTCTTCCTCAAACTTTTCAGAAGCTCCAACGCCCCTGGATATAAAAGGATACTCCACCCAAAAATGAAAATTCTCTCATCATTTACTCACCCTCATGGCATTCCTGATATACAGTATATTATTAGACTTTCTTTCTTTAGATGAACACAAACAAAGATTTTTTTTTAAATAATCCATCTCCAGTGTTGCCAACTTAGCGACTTTTCAGACCCCTTTAGCCACTTTTTTTATTTCAAAAAAGCGCCTAGCGACAAATCTAGTGACTTTTGGACTCAGTAACTTTCCCAATTTTGCCAGTACTGTCCTGCTAGCGCAAGGTCTTGCTTTCTCCCTGCCGTCACACCTCTCTCTGCGTCTACCCTGTTCAGTGAATGGCTGAGAGGAGCAGCAGCTCATTCTGTTGAGCACACGGCTGCTGACAGACATTAATGGACTTATCACTTATCTGCATCTCCTTTGTTTTATATTTAAAGAATTTAGTTTAACCATTTTGATATCCATTCTTCTCTTGTGCTTATCACTTGTATAACTCACTATCACAGAGCTTTAGTTCATCCAGTTTCCGAACTCTCTCAATTCAGATAATTTTACACACATAAAAAATGTAGTCATTCACTATACTGTATCATACTCGTTCTATTGTCTGACAAAAAAATATATAGGAAATGAGAACAGCTTTATTGGACATTTGACTATATTATATTATATATTATATTATATTAAAATACAGTATGTGAGCACGGATTAGGAGAGAAAACACACAAGGCAGGTAGAACACAAGTGAATATGCTTATTGACGTATGACGTCATCTAGCGACATTTAGCAACTTTCTGGGCAGGCTTTAGCTACTTTCCTTTGAAAATAGTTGGCAACACTGTCCATCTCTGTGAGTCCATATAATGCAAGTGGATAGATCCCTCAAAGTTGATGCTTCAAAAACCATGCAAAACGAACACGAACGTAATCCATAAAATGTCTTCTGAAGCGAAATAATGTGTATATGTGAGCAAAATACTGTTCAAATTTTAAACTATAAACCATCGCTTCTGGACAGCTGTCATGCGTGCATTCGCTTATGTAAACGTCAGCATGTTGTGAAACGTGATGTAAGTGTGAGTATTCCTTTAAGTAAGAAAATAGGTCTTCCATGTGAAGCTGATAAGATTAACCTGTTCTGTTTTTGTTTTAGCCTCCCCCTCTATTAAGCTGCTTGTGGAAGACCCCATTGTGGCCAACCCTGGGCAGACAGTGACTCTGGTATGCATCATCTCTGGAGGCGAGCCCAACCCGTCCCTGGCGTGGGTCCGGAATGGCGAAGAGCTTCCAAAGAAGAGTGTTCTCAATGGTGGAACCCTCACTATACCTGCCATCAGCACGGATGAAGCTGGTGTTTACAGCTGTGTAGCCAGTAACAACGTGGGTAATCCTGCAAAGAAATCCACCAACATTGTCGTCAGAGGTGAGAAGAGAGGCTTTGAGGCCGAGCTGGTTTAGTTTGTTTGTGCTTGATGTATCATAGTTTCTGGAAATTGTTTATTTGCAGCAGGTGTACATAGCACTGGCCACACAGTGCACCCCAAGAGTCTAGTAGAACCAGACAAAACTATCAAATATGTGACTTTGATGTAGGAGAAGTGGCCTGGAGTGCCGAGATTGTGTATTAGTATGTTTGCGTGGATGACCTGAGTTTGCATTAGGCTTGTGGCATTTTCAGATCCCTCTGCTCTCATCAGGAATTATCAGTATATTTTTGGTTAAAGTTATTCTAAAATTCAGATCTAATTTCTATTCTAATATTTAGAACTAAATCAAACCATGTCTGACCCTTAGAAACATGATATTTGTGAAGCCAAATGTCTTTATTTATATGCCTTAATTTATATTTATAGCATTAGAATTTGAATTGCTCCCTTATGTAAAACAATTCTGGTTGTTAGAATGAGGCTAAGAACAAAATTATGGCCACTCGCATGTTGTGAAACCAATGGAAAACTTTTCCTGTGCAAATAAATAAATACAAAACTTGTATGAAGTTATTAGTGAATTAGAGCCATTCAGACCCATTGCCTGCAAAAAAAATAATAATTCCACAAAAATAGTAAGGAGCTGTTTTCAACACTGATAATAAGGAATTTTACTTAAGCCCCAAATCAGCGTATTAGAATGATTCCTGAAGGATCATGTGACACTAAACTGGAGTAATGATGATGAAAATTCAATGAATTAAATGTAAAAGATTTTAAAATAGAAAGCAGTTATTTTAAATTAAAATAACATTTCACAAAAGTATTATTTTTACTGTATGTTTGATTCAAAAATGCAGTCTTGTTGAGCATAAGAGACTTTTGAACGTGTATATATATAAGATACTGACAAAATGCAAATAGTGTCTGTTAGTATTTACACTAGGGTGTAAATAACATCTAATTTCCTTTACACTCAGTGTAAATTGCCTCCGCCAATAAGTTTTACAAGCCTCTCAAGTTTGCTGTCAGCATTTTCCACTATACCCATTACCATTTATCAGTGCATAATGAATTACTTAATGATTATCATGAAGGCAGAATGATAATACATGGGGGTAATAAATATCTTGACAATGAATGCAGTGTACAATTATGAATAATGACTAACAGTATGCATCGAAAAACAATCAAGTTGTGGTTCGAAGCTGATTTGAAAGGACGAAGATTTTGCTACTGCTTACTACAAGCGTTATTAGAAAAGTATTTGTTGAAACTTTCTTGAAGGTTTGAAAGACTCAGCCTTGCTTGAAATGTATTATAAATAGGTGCACTTCCAGCCAGCATCATTACCTAGTCTAATGAATATCCATGACTTTGACGTATTACATCTAGCCAAAAGAGCAGAGTGAAATGGAGAAAAGGATTTGCTTTTTCAGGCATCTGTGTGTGGGACTCTCTCTGAAGAAGCTTTACTATCCCCGGTTCGGAGCAGCTTTTATAGCTTACTTCACAGTTACTCCTTCTCAAGGCTGATCCCCTGGGTGCACAAAAAGCTGTTTACACATCTGGAGGTCCAGGTTTTAATGTGAATCCCTTACTGTCTGTCAACTCACCGGGTCTGGGGAGCACAGTGAGATTACGCATTTCCAGCGAGCTGGGTTTGTGTGTGAGGCTGGAGAGTATGATGGGAGTCAGATGTCTTGCCAGTGAGGAGGATCATCTTGGTGAGGTAGACAGCAAAGGGGAAGAGGATCATACCAAAGAAAGAAATCTGCCATGTGTAATTCTCCAAGCTCTCCTCACAACAAAGAGCAGTTTAGTTTGTGGGTTAGTATCATTACTGACAAGTATCAGTATCATTCTGAGTATCAATTTTGGGATTTTTTTTTCTTCTGATATCCAGAAACCTTTTTAAATGTGCTTGGTCTGATGAGTTTGGTTTAGTAGAGGGTAATTGCTGTGATGTCGATTTTAATGTTTTACTTTGCTCTCTTTTGACTCAAGTAATAAAATTATTAAACTCAGTTCAATAATCATTCTCCATTTATTTTTTCTATTTATTTGGAATAAGCGAGATAATGTACTGTCAGCTTTACAACATTATCATAAATTATACAACAGTTATTTCTGATTGGAAATCTGATTGGTTAGCGCTGATATAACAGTCTAACAGCACTGGGACTTCCCCTGTTTGTGTCGCTCTGCTTTTCTGTGTTTGTTTGACACAGTCTGTGCATTATGGTGGGGATTTTACAAAAAGATTCTGCAAATTACGTCATTACACCAGTAGGTCAACTTTATGAGTGAGTCATTTTAATAATTCGCTCAATCGATTAATTCAAAAATTCAAAATGATTATTCATTCAAGAATGAAACAATTGTCTATCTTTATAAATTAATAATTTGTTTGACCAATTGTTGAAAGTTCTGATTCATTCAGTCACTCTCTCTATATCAGTCACACTCATTCATTCAACCATTTAATAATAAAAAAATGCTGATCATTTCAGGAATTAAACAAGTGACTCTCATTATGTCATTAATTCATTCATTCAATTCATTCATTCAAAAACACTGATTCATTTATAAATGAAGCAAGTTATTTTCTTTATGAGAAAGCCATTGAATCATTCATTCAACTGATTCATTAAAAAAACTGAATCATTCAAGAGCGAAAAGGTATGCAACGATTCTGCTGCTGTGTTGTTGAAGCAAATAGCAGTAAATAACAAAATTGGGTCTAAAATATGACTCAGTATTAGGGTTGGGTACCGAAACTCGGTGCCAATAGGGAACCGGTTCCGACGTAAACGGTAGTAACCAGACCGAATAAGAACGAAAATTTCGGTGCCTGATTTCGGTGCCTAACTTCATTATGCACACACGCACACACACACACACACACACACACACAATGTCTCTCGCTCTCTCCCTCTCCGCCGTGCGTGTGCTACACAGTTTGGAGCACAGTTTCTTCTGTCTCGCATGCGCGCTCTTTCTCGCAAGGTTTGGCTGCATTTGACGTGTAAAATTACGCGTCAGAACGCCCTCTGGGTGTGCCGATAGTCTGAATCCCATATAGAATCAAGCCAATTCATTGGCTGATGGCGCGGGCGCCGCATCGACGCACATCGACATTACGTCGTCATATGTTGGCGCGCGCGCGCCATCTGCTCCTCTGATTTCTCTGCCGAAAAAGGAAGCTGGTCGGCAGCGCGAGGAGCTTGGCAGCGTCCCGTTCCCTATTGAGAGAACATAGGTTACACCAGTAACCAGAGATGTTCTCTTTCATAGGTTCACTCAGCGCTGCGTAGCTAAGAAGCAGTGGATTTGTATTTGTAGGCTGCTGTATCACGTGCCGTTTGAACTGACGCGCTACAGCGATCTGTCACATTTCAAAGAGCCAAAACGTTATTTATTGTGTGAATCTCGTAAAAATATTGACAGAATCTGACAGCTGTGGATTTGTTCCATATCAAAATAAGTAACCTTCTGTCTTGTCTGTCGGTGTCAGTGTACTCTTTGTCCGCGATTTCTCTGTGTGAAAAGGGTCATTTGCGTGAGTCTCACGGTCAATGCGTGAGAGTTGGCAGCTCTGCCTGCTAGTAATCTCTATTAATCTCCAGTATTATTACATTGTTTGATACAATATTGTTTCATTTGATATTATATAAATATGAATTTTTATTTTATATTGGTCTTATTATTACCATATGTTACTTGTATTTATATTGTTTAAAGATTTAAGTTAATAATAATAATAATAATAATTCATTACATTTATATAGTGCTTTTCTAGGCACTCAAAGCGCTTCACATGGAAGGGGGAATCTCCTCAACCACCACCAATGTGCAGCATCCACTTGGATGATGCGACGGCAGCCATAGTGCGCCAGAACGCTCACCACACACCAGCTTACTGGTGGAGAGGAGACAGAGTGATGAAGCCAATCAGTGTATATATATATATATATGGGGATGATTAGGAAAATTCAGTTAATAATTCAGGAAAGCTAATATTGTGTCCAGTTTGGCCCTGTAAATTAAAGGGTATTATTTTTTGATAAAGTGTGTGCGGTTTCATTTTCTTAAGTACCGATTTAAGAACCGTTTAAGCACCGGAACCGTTTAAAAAATACCGAGTAGGTACTGGAATCGGATAAAACCCAAACGAAACCCAACCCTACTCAGTATTAACTTATTGTTTATAAAACAATTGTATAAAAGTAATATAGCACTTGCAATTGTGCTGCTCGTGTGATATTGCTTAAAAACCCAGACTGGTTGATCAGGGCACCAGGTCGAAGTAGGTCTTTTATTTTGCGTTAATGACCAGCTGACTGTACATTATCCCATAAATAAATTCCACATTAGAAGCCAGTTATTTATTGCCATACATAACCTTCCGAGACACTTTTTGCATTATGCATTCATTGTAATATTAAAATGCTATTATTTTAACATTCGTTTTCATTAGACTTTGTTTACTCACACATACTGATCCTCTGGTGGCTCAGTTTCTGGTCCTGGTTTCCAATAATCGCTGTTGCAGAAACAGTTTGCATACCTAATGATTCAGAGCTTTTATAACACTTTAAAAGTATTTTCAATGTATTAATTTACTCTCACAACAACAAAATGAACTTCCCACAATGCCGGTCACCTTACTTTTGTGCTTTTTTTCATGCATTAACCACCTTCAGAGGAGAGCTACTGATTTTCTACTACATCACATGAAACCATGAAGTTTGCAATATCATTGCCACGACTTTATGGCTCACTTGTGGCCAATGCTGCCTTTTTGTCCTAGACGTGATGGCCATTTAGGTTTTATATGCTTTTTCTTATGGATGGAAACAACATTATTGGGCAGAAAATAGCAATGATAGGCCCATTCTGTAGCTCCATAGATCGAGGAAGGTTTTATAATATAAGATCGTCAGAGGGGACGTTACAAGCTTGAGCTGCGCAGCTTCTTTGCTGCACAGATGGC